GCAGGAGAACGCAGGAGAACGCAGGAGAACGCAGGAGAACGCAGGAGGACGCAGGAGGACGCAGGAGGACGCAGAGACCCAACGAATACGACCCGACAAAGGAACAACACAGAACAGGAGGCTTATATACAAGGACAAGACAAGACGTGATTACAACAGCTGTGACGAGACAAAGGTGACACCAATTAGACTGACGAGGAAACACTAGGGAAACAGACACAAACAGAAACAGCAAATGGTACCATCCTTACAGAAACATGTTGGACACTCTGAGCCCAAGTAGGATTTTGGACAACCATCTAGATCTATGAAAACACGACTGACAGTATGAGTCCAGGGAAACATTTCTGATATTGTAAGCCAAGAAAATGTGTCGGACTGTCTGAGTACAAGAAATGTATTAGACCCTGATTCCAGGAAGCATATTGTGCATTGTTAAACATGTTGGGTCCAGGAGAGATATTAAACAGTATGTGCCCAGAGAATCATGTTGGATAGTCTGAGTCCAGGAGACATGTTGTGCAGTCTGAGACCTGAAGACATGTTGTATGGCTTGAGTCCAGGAAATATATTGGAGAGGAAACATTATAAATTGTCTGAGTTCAATGTTGTATGTTTGAGACCAAGAGAAATGTTAAATACTTTGAGTCCAGGAGACATGCTAGAGAGTATGAGCACAGGAGACATTTTAGACAGCATAAGCCCAGGGATACATGTTGAATAGTTTTATTCTCGAAGACATGTGTGACTGTCTGAATCCAGGAGACTTGTTGAACTGTCTGCGTGTGACTGTAGTAGACCATTAGCTGAACTAAAGTGGTGTCAGCTGTGATACCATGCATGTTTTCCTCAGGTGAACGTGGTTCAGGTTCCAGCAGGCTCAGGTAGAAGTACTGCTGCCTGGTCATTCTGTCTGTCACATGGAACTGACCAAGTGCCAGCTGAGCCTGAACACAACAAGCAACATGTTACCACTCTAACATCGCTTACCTGATCACAGATCTGCCATATGAGAGTGGATGGGGATTTGTTACCACATGACTCATCCGACCAATAAGAGCAGTGATACACAGCTGTCCATCAGAGTCCTTCCCACTGGCACTCGCCCCAAGTTCCAGCAGGACTTGAGCTGCTTCGCTGCGCTCTGAAAGCAGAATGATGTTGTGGTGATGTCAGTGGGTGGCTGGGATATCAGGTGATTATGTCAGAAGTACCCATGTTGGCAGCAAGCTGGAGGGGTGTTCTGTTTTTGTAGTCAGTGCAGCTGATGGTGGCTCCGGCCTGCAGCAGTAGTCTAATAGATCCAGCAGCATCGTTCTTTGCAGCATAGTGAAGAGGAGTCTGCCGGTCCAGGAAGGTGTGAGCACCCGGATCAGCTTATGATAAAAAACAGAAACATTAAATGGGATTTTTAGCACAAAACACATTCTGCTAATAGTCAACTAAAGCAGCAGAAATGTGCTCAATAATTTCACAAACCTTTTTTATCCAGCAGGAACTGAACCATGTCCTCATAGTCCAGAGCAGAGGCTACATGCAGTGGAGTAACCCCAAACTGGTCTGGATGGAGGTGGTCTGAGCCCCGAGCCAAAAAGAACTTCATCACATCAACACTCCAAGCCCTGGACACCTGAACACACAGATACATCTATGTTCAGGTACACAAAGACTTCAGATAACCACTGAACAGGGAGCACGAGTCTACCCCCGTCACATGCTGATTACATTATCAGTACTTTTACTGTTCTGTATATGATACATAATGACTGAAATTACCCACACGATGAAAACAAACTGAAGGAAAATAAAGTCACGTGACCTCATGCAGGACAGTTTGACCATATCTGTCGGAGGAGTTTGGATCGGCACCATCTGAGATCACCTCATCCAGAAATTGAAGATCCACCTGAAAACAGAAGAACCAGTTTATTAGCCAAATAAAACTGGACTTCAGTTTTTACTTCTTGAGCACTGTTGATTGTTTTGTAAAGAATTAACTGAGCCAAACGAGTCACTGAGTCATACATGTGGGTCACCTGTAAGTTGTTCATGAACCAAACCAAACTGTTTAAAACTCTATATTCCTCAATGGTCTGAACACCTGACTGGTCTCGTGTGGTCTTCATGTGGTGCTTGATTTGATTGTTTTTACAACACTACTTGTTATTTTAATTGCTTTTTATTGTTGTATATTGTTGTATGTACTCTATATGGGGCCGAGATGGTGTAGAGGCAGGGCAGCCGGCTTGGGACCCGAGAGTCCCAGGTTCGATCCCCAGTCACTGCACATCACGTGGCGTCGCTGGGCAGCACGTCTAATCCCCAAAATGTCCCCCGGGCGCTTTCAATAGCTGCCCACTGCACCACCTGGTGGTGGATGGGTTAAATGCAGAGACTAATTTCGCCATTGTATGGAAACATACAGTGCTGACATTGTGATGACATTATTATTATTATTATATATGTTGTCTGTCTAAAACAGGCCACTCTTGAAAATGAGTCCTCATGATTCAATGAGACTAATCTGTATAAATAAAGGTTGACTGAATGGTCAGAGTTCACTGGACAGTCTTACCTGATCAGTGTCCTGGTTTTTAGCTGCCAGGTCTCTGAAGTGGTCTAGCAGTTTTCTGTTGAGTTGCTGGATTCTGTTACTGGTATCAATTTCATCTCTCTGATCTTCATCATTTTCCTCATCTTTTGCTAGACCTTTGAACTTTGTCTCCAGGTGGACTCCTAAACATGAGAACCATATGAGCTTAAACTCAGATTTAGTAAGTAGACTGAACAAATTTGCTCACCTGTCAACTTTCTTCTTCCCTGCTTCCAGCGACCTTGAGAGTATGATGCCCAGCGAGATGAAGCTGTGAACCCAGAGGATCTAGATTCTAAGGGACTATCCAGGACCTAAAGACATTCAAGAACCTTTTTGAGTGGGCTTCATTGGGTCTTTAAAAAGTTTTCTTTTGACTTTGGCTGCTCTTTCCATCAGCTGCAGGTCAGTCGTAGCTGAAAACTAGACCTACTGTTAATTATCAGCTGAAGGATAAAGCATTCCTCAGGTACTGATTCAGGATGGACTTGTTCCTTTCAGATTCTGTATATCTGCGATATATCTGTATAACAGTGATATTGTTTATCTGTTCAGATTTTTAGACTTGATACTTTTTTCTTCTTCACTTTTCCTGTTAGCTCAGATTGTTTCAGGACAGTGCATATCATGCTAACATCGGTCCAGTTTTCTGCCTGAATAAGGTCAGTGTTAAAAGTGTTCCTCTGAAAGTGGTCAGGAACAACAAAGATACAAACTGAGAGAACAGTCTGCCAAAGTCCAGAGGAAAACTTGGGAAGACCTTCAAAAATGTTGGAGAATTGTTCATCAACACCAATTTAAAATATTACATTAAGGTCTGGAATATTTTTAATCAGTTTTGAATCAGGGATTTGGGTCAGGAGTTTGGATCAGGAGATTTGGATCTGAATGGAGGATGTGAAGATACTTATCAGAAGATTGGATCAAATTCTCAGACTTACCTGGGTTGTGCTTGTTCTTTCTGTCATTTCCAGGTCCAGTCCAGGATTCAACATTCTTGTCTGACTGGTCTGGGAGTCCTGTTGCACCCTGATTTTTTTTTTTTTTTTACCTTCTGTCCAGTAATTGCCAATCCAGAACTCCAGAGTTGAACAGTGGTGGACCTTTTGTGAGTTTAAAAACCTGTGCAATCCTGCAGGAACTCTGACAACTGTGGATCCTGTTAAATCTACTTAAAGTCATAAAGCTCTCTGGAAACACATGTTGGACTTGAATCTTTTTCTTCAGCTGAGTCTGGTAGCTCCAGCCCACAATCATGCACGAAGGAATTAAGTCCTACATAGGAAATGTCTCTGACAAAGCCAACTCTCACTTTATGACTCTGAAGCACCAAACTAACCAGCATGTGTTGATTTTGAGACTGTAGAAAATATAAACCCACAGGAGTTAAGTGATGTTGCTCAGATGGCTGTTTGCTCAAAGGTTTGTCTTATCAGTGGGTGGAGGGGCAATTGTCCTGGTCATGGTCCAGGATTTTATCTCAGTTTATGACAGAAGGTATGAAACATGAGCAGTCAATGCACAACTGATTTTTATCATCAGGATTTTTTTCCCTCTATCTGATACAAACAAACAGATGAAATGATAGAGAGTATTCCCAGGAAGGAGAGATTGGTGATCGGAGCAGATCTGAATGGACATGTTGGTGAAGGAAACAGAGAGGATGAGGAAGTGATGGGTAGGTTTGGTGTCAAGGAAAGAAACCAGGAAGGACAGATGGTGGTGGATTTTGCCAAGAGAATGAAAATAGCTGTTGTCAACACATATTTCCAAAAAAGGGAGGAACATATAGTGACATTTAAGAGTGGAGGAAGGAGTATGTAGGTAGACTACATTCTGTGTAGAAGAGGAAACCTGAAGGAGATTGGAGACTGTAAGGTTGTGGTAGGGGAGAGAGTGGTAGCATCGGACGGTTGTGTGTAGAATGACTGTTGTTGTGAAGAAAAGAAAAAGAGTCAAATCAGAGAAGAAGACCAAATGGTGGAAGATGAAGAAGGAAGAATGTTGTGAGTAGTTCAGAGAGGAGCTGTTAAAGGCTCTGGGTGGTAAGAAAGACTGGACCACTACAGCAACAGTAATTAGAGAGACAGGTAGGAAGGTACTTGGTGTGTCATCTGGACAGAGATTGGATGATAAGGAAACCTGGTGGTGGAACAGTGAAGAGCATTTAAAGAAAGTGGTTAGCCAAGAAGAAATATGACAATAAAAGGACTGAAGAGAGGCGAAAGGAATATAAGGGGGTGCAATGTAGAGCAAAGAGGGAGCTGGCAAAGATAAAGCAGAAAGCATATGATGAGTTGTATGGGAGGCTAGACACTAAAAGTGCAAGACAGAGGGATCAGGCTGGAAAGGATGTGCACCAGGTTAGGCTTGTTAAATATGAGAATGGGAATGTTCTAACAAGTGAGGAGAGTGTGATGGAAAGATGGAAGGAGTACTTTGAGGAGCTAATTAATGAAGAGAAAGAAGGTTAGAGATCATAAAAACTGTGGACCAGGAAGTGGGAAAGATTAGTGAGGGTGAAGTCCAGAAAGCTCTGAAAAGAATGAAGAAGGGGAAGGCAGTAGGACCTGATGACATACCAGTGGAGGTTTGGAAATGTCTTGGAGTGATGGCAGTGAGGTTTTTGACCCAAATATTCAGTGGCAGATTTAAGAGTGAGAAAATGTCTGAGGAATGGAGAAGAAGTGTGCTGGTGCCCATTTTTAAGAACACGGGTGATGTAGAGTTGTAGCAACTACAGGGGATTTAAGTTGATGAGCCACATGATGAAGTTCTGGGAGAGAGTTTTGGAAGCTAGATTTAGATGAGAGGTGATTATTTGTGAGCAGCAGTATGGTTTCATCTCTTTCCTCTCTTCATCTCTGGGGAGTGGTGGCGCAGAGGTTAGAGAAGGTGGGCCTGTGATCGGAAGATCGCCGGTTCAAGCCCCGGTACCGACAACATCAAAAATGTGGGTGGGGTAGGTGAAGCACCTACATCTGCCCCCACCCTCATTCGTCTCACTCTGGGCCCTTGAGCAAGGCCATTAACTCCCACCATCTGCTCTTCTGGGTGTCCTAGATAGCAGCTCTCTGCTCCACACAGAGCTGTGGTAGCTCAGTGGTCTGTGGTTGCGTCAGGAAGGGCATCCAGCGTAAAAAAAAAAAAAAAAAGCTGCCAAGTCTTCGTGCAAGTTAGTACGCTGTGGCGACCCCTAACGCAGGGAGCAGCCGACAGAAGAAGAAAAAAAGTATGGTTTCATCTCAAGAAAGAGCACCACAGATGCCATCTTTGCTTTGAGGATGCTGCTGGAGAAGTACAGAGAGGGTCAGAAAGAACTTCATTGTGTCTTTGTGGATTTAGAAAAAGCATATGGGGACGAGGGAGGAGGTGTGGTATTGTATGAGGAAATTTGGAGTGGCAGAGAAGTATATTAGACTGATACAGGACATGTATGAGTACAGCAGGACAGCTGTGAGATGTGCTGTAGGAGTGACAGATAGCTTCAAGATGGAGGTGAGATTGTATCAAGAATCGGCTCAGAGTCCCTTCTTGTTTGCTCTGGTGATGGACCGACTAACAGATAAGGTCAGGCAAGAATCCCCATGGACTATGATGTTTGTGATCTGTGGTGAGGTCAGGGAACAGGTGCAAGAGAACTTAAAGATGTGGAGGTATGCACTTCAAAGAAAAGGTATGAAGGTCAGCTGTAATAAGATAGAGTACATGTGTGAATGAGAGGGAGGCTACAAGAAGCAGAGGTCACAAAAGTGCAGGACGTCACATACTTAGGGTCCACTGTCCAGGAAAATTAGAAGTGTGATACAAAAAAGTGAAAAGAGAGTCCAGGCAGGATGGAGTGGATGAAGAAAAGTTTCAGGAATGATTTGTGACAAAATAGTGGCAGCAGAGGTCAAAGGAAAAGTTTACAAGACAGTGGTGAAACCAGCTATGTTGTATGATCTGGAGACAGTGGCACTCGTCCTTCAGCCTGTGCTGTACCTCTGATGTTCTCATTCCTAATCTTATCCATCCTTGTCCTCCTAAGGAGAACCTCAACATCTTCATCTCTGCCATGAGGCCAGACTGAGATGGTTAGGACATGTCCAGAGAAGGGACAGTGGATATATTGGTAGAAGGATGTTAGAAATGCAGCTTCCAGGACAAATACTAAGAGAAGATATATGGATGCAGTTAGAGAGGACATGGAGGTAGTTGGAGTGAGGACAGAGGATGCAGAGGACAGAGTGAGGTGGAGGAGGATGACTTGCTATGGCAAAGAGGGAAGAGCCAAAAGAATATCTGACACAAACAAACGCAAATATGTGATGGGGTTGTGGAGACAACCGGTCAAAAAAACAAAAACCTGTGCTGCCCCACCCCACCCTAAAAAAAATTATCAGATTATCAAAAACTTATTTTAGCTCTGATCAGGCTAAGAACTTTCAGCTCGTTCTCCATTTGAAATCAACAGTCTCCAAATATGATTTGCTTGTCTGTAATGACCCAATTGATGCTAATTAATTTGGCTTTAAGACCAATTACTCTGCTGAAATGGGTCTGAAGTGTAGGTGAAAATCAGGATATATTTTACAGAAATATAATAAACACATGACTAGACTTTTATTTTTTAGTTTATTTAATACATAATACAGTTTTACAAGTTAAATTTTTCATTTCACACAAACACAAAAATCCAAAATTTGAAGATTGTATTTGGCTAAATAAATAAAAGATTTTATAAATCATCTATCCACCCATTATCTTTATATGCGATTGCATGAGTGCACTTGTTTCTTTCTGGGTTGTGGGGATCACTGGTGCCCACGACCAGCAGTCACTGTGCGAGAGGCGGTGGTATACTGGTCGCAAGACCATCACAGATTAAACAAATACATCAAAGATAAACAATAGAAACTTGTTCATTTTAACAAAATTCCTGTGATGTATTGCCAGTTTTTGTCAAGCTGTTTTTGATCGTGTGAAAGTATTTTTCACCTTGTAAAACACTGGTCTTGTCCGTCTTGTAAAAAAGGAAGTACACCTTCCTTCAGTTCTAGGGTTTTCTGTATGAGGACATAATATTCATTCAATCTTTATTTATACAGGTTAGTCTCATTGAGTCACAAGGACTCATTTTCAAGAGCCACCTGTTTTTAAAAAAAAGCTACATTATGAAACAGGGTAAAATACTAAAAACAGGAACATGTCTGAATTGATTTTTACCATGAACTTAACAATTGTTTAAAGTCCTTTAGAGAGGTCAAAGTCGTCAGCTTCAGATCTTTTTGCAAGGGAGCACTGTAAGAAAAGGCCTTTTTGCCTTACTCAGTCTGCACTGAGGGGACGCTGCAGGCAATAATGTCTTGAGTGCATGCTGTAACTGCACTGATGACGTAACATGTAGGAGGAGATATATGAAGGCAACAAACCAAGAAGTGATTTAAAGATGAAAATATACCAGTGACAGAGTCTGCATGAAGTTAATAATGACCAGTTAACCAATAAATACAGAGTAGTTACAGCCAGTTATGAACCTTAGCGCACCGTGATAGACAGCATCCAACATCTGCAAGGTGCTTGCAGGAGCATTCGTATAAATAATATCACCGTACTCAATGGCCAGAAGTAGCAGTTACAAGGCATTTCCTAGCATTCATAGTTAGCAAGATCTTTTTCTGAAAAAGAAACCCAATTTTAATTTCTTTAAAAAAATTTCGACATGAAGCTTAAAAAAAGAGATGTGCATCGACTAAGATTCTCAAGTATTTGTAAGAATCGACAAACTCAATAAGAACACCATTTGTAGGTAAGATAGGAAGGACTGCTGGTACCAACTTCCTGTTTGTAAACAACATTCCTTTGGTTTTATCAGCATTTAGCACCAGTTTAAGAAGAAACAAGTTTGACTGAATGATATCAAATGTAGAATGCAAAAGCTGGAAAACATTAGCAACTGGTTTAGCTCGACAATAAACAACTGTATCGTCGGCATAGAAATGTAAGGATGCATCAGGGATGATCTGACATACATTACTTATGTAGATTATGAAGAGGGTGTGTCCTAAGACTGAGCTTTGTGGTACGCCATTGTTGACTGTTAAATAACTGGAAGAAGTACAATTGTGTTGAACACATTGTCTCTGATCTGAAAGATAATTAGAAAATCAACCAATCAATATAATTGATCCTGTCTTCACCAGGTCCTAAAGTAATTCAAATCTAATCTCAAGTCAATAAAAAACACAACAGACTCAACCACATTATTATTATTTTTTTACTATTATTATGAGTGAAAAACTGATTCCAGCTCTGCTTCTTGAGCAGGATTTCAGAAGTTCAGTTTCAGCCAGGAGCTGTTGATCACATGTATTGATTAAATTATCATTATCATTGGGACGTTTAGAAATATAGGAGTTTTTGCTACTCTGGAACACACAGGTGTGTAACAGCGCCTATGTGGAAGGACTTTAGAGATTCAGCTGTTGTCTATTAATCTGGCAGAGGTCAAAACTGTTTGAAATCCATCATTCATTTCACAGAGAGAATGAATTCAAGTGGAAAACATTTAAGACAACTGCCAATCTTCCCAGGAGTGGTCGTCTCAGTAAATTCACCCTGAAGGTCAGACCATGCAACGCCCAGAGAAAGACTCCTTCTCAGAATCTACAGGCCTCAGTTAGAAGGTTAAAGGTCAAAGTTCAACCTATTTGGAAGGGCTACAGAAAAAAAGCCTCTTCTCTAAACATAACATGGTAGAATGACTTAGGTTTGAAAAGTTTAATCTGAAGAAACCACAATATAGGACAGATATTTCCAATAATTCCCAGGTGCAAACATTTCATTCCAGCTGTTAGCACAATGGTAGATGGTTTGAGTTCCATGCAGTCATTGAGTCGACCATGAACTCCTCTGCAGACCAAATGATTCCAGAGTCAGCTGTAAAACCATCTGTCTGACAGCTGAAACTTGGACCAAACTGGGTCATAACAGAGCAATAGTCCCAAACACAGCAACTAACCTACAACAGAGCAGCTCAAAAATAAAATAATCAAGAATCTGTAACAGTCCAGCCAAAGTCCAAAACCTGAACCTGCTTAAAATACTGTGGGGGACCTTAGAGAGCTGAGAAAAAAAAACAATATAAGACAGATATTTCCAATAACCTATAAACTAAAGGAGAAATGGGAATTTCAATTAAATTCAATTCAGTTTATTTATATAGCACCAAGTCACAACAGAAGTCATCTCAGGATACTGTACAAAAACATTTGCATACATGAAAAGTCAGTTGGTAAAATTATCTATCTAAGGAACGAAAATGGCCAAATTTCCTCCACAACCTTGTGAGATGGTGATTAGATCAGAAAACCACTGATGACATTCCTTCTGCTAAAGGAGGTTCAACGAGCTGCTGGATCAGAGGCTAGAAGCAGTTTTTCACAGACAGTTTGGCTTTGTTTTTTAACATGATGGAATCATGTTAAATCCATCCATCCATCCATTATCTTTACCCGCTTATTCCATTTTGGGTCACGGGGGTCGCTGGTGCCCATGTCCAGCAATCACTGTGCGAGGGGCGGGGTACACCCTGGACGGGTCGCAAGTCCATCACCGGGCCACATAGAGACAAACGAGACAAACAACCATTCACTCTCTCATTCACACCTAGGGACAATTTTAGAGTTACCAATCAGACTAACATGCATGTTTTTGGTCTGTGGGAGGAAACCGGAGTACCCGGAGAAAACCCACGCATGCACGGAGAGAACATGCAAACTCCACCCAGAAAGGCCCCTGGACCGGGGTTTGAACCAAGGACCTGCTCGCTGAGAGGCAGCAGCTCTACCAGTTGCGCCACCGTGCTGCCTCATGTTAAATTAATTCGATTTAATAATTTTCAAACCCAGTGAAGACTACATCAGTTTCATTATGTCCTGAAACCCAATAACTGATTGACGTGAGCTTCCTTTCCCCCAAAACGTAAAGTGGTGTGTGTTACTCAGACTCCACAATGTAAAGGGACATTATGCTTTCTCTAGGGTGGGGGGAAACTGGTTTTATTCAGATCATTTTAATAATGTGCAGCTTGAAACTAAGACTGAGCAGGTTGGAGGCTGTGCATAAACACAGGGTCATCAGGTGGGAGGTGGCACCTGCAGAGGCATGATAATGTCAGAGAAAACTAGTCACAAGAACCCAGATGAGAAAAAAGTAACCATGCAATGGCGTCTTCAGTCATGTGATGTGCCTGTTGGACACAGAAGAGCAGTTTTTTTTTTATCCAAACCAGTGGTTACTCATACAGTCTCTGTTCCAGGCGACACCACAGAGCCAACACCACTCGGTTCTGCAGAGAGAACACCGCATGTGCATGCATCCACCTTCAGAGGGAGACAACCACACACGTGAGTCAGTAAAGCATGTGCTTATGTCACATCAATGTTTATGTCATGTGTGAGACTTCTATGTCATGCCGTTACCGTTTCTCTCAACAGGGACTGAACAACAAGGGCACTGTTTGGTGGACTCCTGTATCAGGAGCAGAGACGCTTGATCCCACCGCCCTCTCTGAGATGCCCCTTCTCTCACCACAAAACCCTGAGGTGGAAGGGTCACAGGTTAACCTCTTCTTCATCACCATCATCATCCTGGAGTGCCTGTGACTCACCTGTGACGTGTCATCTGTGGGCAGAGCTGGCATCACCTCACACGTCCCCTCGTGGTATCCTCCCCTGCAGTCCCTGCAGAAGACAAAGCCGCAGCCCAGCCGTTGGTCACACTCTACCTTCCTGCCGTCTTCAGGTGGCAGTAGTCCCGCCCCGCAGCCTGGTGACGGACACATCAGGCCTCCGATGGTCAGCAGACATTCCTCCGCTCCGTACCGCTGGTACCGTTCATACTGAAATAGACACAGGTGGAGAGGTGGAATTTGGGTGAGTACACAGCACACTGAGTATTAAACTGTGGTATGAAGTGAAATCACCTGTTCATCTCCCAGAATCCTGAAATGATGCAACTCCTTGATCAGTGAGTCGTCACAGCCAACTAGAGGCAAACACATCACAAAGTTACACTCACACCTGATCACCTATTCTTTTCCCGAGTCTCTGCCCCTTCACCTGCACAAGGTAGTGAGTATCCAATCACAGGGTGGTAAACAAACTGCCGTTCATTAAGACGAGTCTGACAGTAACGATGAAAACAGTCCAGACAGATCACGTGGCGCTCTCGACACTGGAAGACTAGGACGACATCCCTGAGAGACAGTGAGGAGACAACAGGTGAATACAGGTGGGCCTTTAACTCCCATACAGAACCATTAAACAAAGACAGGATGGACTTTTGGCCTCTACTCTAGTGGATCAGTCCTAGGGATGTGATCAGTTCTGTTAGTGATTTTTGGAAGATCAGAGACAACTTATGGACAGTCTAATCATTCCAACCATCTGGCAGAAATGTTTTGTGAAAGTGCATTAACAGTGCATTTACTCTTAGGGGCCTTTGACTGAACCTTCAAACAGAGAGATTTGACATTCATATTTGAATCTCTTCCTGTGTCAATGTGTAAGCATGGTTGTTCTCAATTTTGCTCTCAATTTACCTTGGTTACTAAATCTCACAAACTAGCTTGAGTGTGCATTCAAATTATGGGACCAAAGAAGACAATCAAGGAACAAAAAAGTGGCTGGATTTTTTTGATGGAGGAAATTTTAGCTGTCAAACTGCAGAAGAAACACCTCCTTTATTGGCGGAAGAAGTTTAAGGTTCTTCGTATCTAGAATGCAAAGAATTAGTAGCTAGTGTACTTGGATAACCGAGGGGCAGGACTTGAGAAGTGCATCAGGATGAATGACACATGGACCACAAACTGTATTAGATAAGCTTAACAGAACAAGCCAACATCTTTATCAGCAGAAGCAGGAAGGAACTGGACAAGTACCGAGTAGGAGAAATGAATACACACTTGACATAATACACAAAACTCTATATGTCACAGAATATGAACATTTCTGTTCAATGCCTTGAGATGTTGTGACTTGGTGCTATATAAATAAACTGAATTGAAGAAATTCATCCAGCTGCTCCTCCACACCGAGAGGAGCCAGTTGAGGTGGTTCAGGCATCTGGTAAGGATGCCCCCTGGGCACCTACCTAGGGAGGTGCTTCAGGCATGTCCAACTGGGAGGAGACTCTGAGGGAAGACTCAGTACACGGTGGAGAGACTACGTCTCTCGGTTGGCCTGGGAACGACTTGGAATCCTCCCAGAAGAGCTGGAAGATGTGGCTGTGGAGGGGGATGTCTGGACCTCCCTGCTCATGCTGTTGCTCCTGCATCCTGACTCAGAAATAAGCAGAAGATAATGGATGGATGGATGAATTTCCATCCA